GTCATGCCACCAATAGTATACTTTTATAAGCTACCTATTATGGGGCTGAAAAATGAAGATGAAAATAAGCAAAGCTATAGACAAGTAATAAAATTGAAAGGTAACTTAAAATGCATGTCCATGTTCTACAATAGATAACAAGATTTGAAAATTGTCCCATGACTATGAAAACTGCCCCTAAGAGGTGACTGCGAATAAAGTAATCTAGTCCTGAATCTGATTTGCCACAAATGCATCAGCATTAGAAATCACAGGTTCACTCAAGTGTTTGAAGTGTGTATTTGGATGTTAAGTGATCCAGTCTAAACGCTTTGATTCCCAGCAGGTTTTTTGCAGATTTTGTCGAAAAAGCAACCCAGTTAACTCCGAGAAGACAATGTGAATCAGAACTAATGTTAATGATGCTATTATCTGGGACATGTACTTGTTTGGGGTTCATTTCCCGTGGTCCAATACACCTGTATCTTGTTAAAAAAATTGTGGACACAAGGTAAAAGAGAGCTTCACAATAAATAAAAAGGCAGGGATAGGCCAGTAAGTTATTGTAAGGTATCTTTAAATATAAATTGAGCCCCAGAGGCAGAAAAGTCATTTACCCAACGCTGGCACATTATTAAGACTTGTAGGTCAAAACTCCAGTAACAAAAAAGGATTTCTTGGGGTCGTATCCAAGATAAGGAGAGCATATAAACAGAATTTTGTAACTTAAACTGTACTTAAATTTCCCCTTGAAGTGAGCTTAAAACTGTCACAATTTTGATAACAAAGGTAAGTTTGAATAACCAATACAAAAAACAGAACTGACTAACTGGATTTTTTTTTTTCCCCAAAACAATCCTGAACCCAAAACAACTTATATAAGGGATGCAGGTAACAGAAAAAGTCAAATAAAACAATGGTTCCTGAATTTAAAGGAAGGATGCCCACTTCTCTCTCTCAAGAGGCAGATGGTCAGCTGAAAAATAAAAACATTGTATCAATAGCACACTCCAAATGAAAAAATTGCAGCCATCTCTGTTCATGCAAATGTTAAAAAAAAAAAAAAAAAAAAAACCCCCAAA